ACCTTTATCAATTATATTTGCAATATGAATCCACTCCATATGTCAACTTACTTATTTTATCTATCTTTAAATTCATTTTTGACTTTAGGATCTTCAACCAATCTTTTTCCTTATCAAAGTCTAATAAATAATTTTATTTTATTTTATTTTATTTTTTGCCACTTACTCCCCATGTATATATTACAACTCGTTACATATATCATTTCTATACCCTTAAATCATTCCAGTTCATTTCTAATGTTATTTCTCCCATTTATTACATTAAACAGTCCTACACTATAACTCTGGTTGCAGTCTAGCTTCTAAACTAAAATTGTCTCCTCAACCTTTCCAATGTTTATGTTCTTACTTAGCTACTAAGTGTCTACTTACTTAATATTACTTAATATCATCATCAACACTTGTCCTTATTCTTCTCGCAAATCTTCTTTAAAATTATTATATAATCCTCGCAATCATTTCATTAATAGATCTAATACCAATTGGCACCGTGAATATAAAATAGACAACTTTCAAAAAATAAATTTTTCTACCTAAATAATCAATTTCATTAATTTTTATATACATAACACAGGATTTGAAATTCAAAAATAAAAATGAAGTTATTATATTATTAAAATATCAAAATATCAAGTAAATAAAACAATTGAAAAAGATTACATTATGAATAAATTCCTAAAGAACAATTCAGTTAGCCGAGCTGAATACTAAAAAATACTGATATCCTAATCACCAAAGTTCATCTCCGCCATTCAAAATGAAACCTATCATTATTCTCTACCACTATCCTAATTCACTGTAGGAATAGACTCACATGAAAAGTAGTGTACTGGGTGATCAGGCCAAATCCACTCCATCAGGTGTTATTACCTATTCCGCTAGCCTTAACTTAAGGGTTGATAATTGCTTTAGCCCCTACAGTTATTGTGATGGGTTCATCCTACTATCCATTACTTTCACTCTAATCCTCAATTAGTTCTTCTATAGTTTATGGATTTTTACACAATAGGTGTGGGTTTTCCCACCTCATAGGGTCTAGTGCGTCCACCATCCCTAGAGAGGGAAATCACAAAGTTTCCTTCCTTATGTTGGTTACGGCCGATCCCAACATAAAGCAATTTCCTATACTCCGCAGTTGTATCCTAGAACCCTAACCTAAGCTCTGATACCACCTTTGTCACGACCTGTTTCCATGGGCCGGACCGGCACGGAACCGGCACTAGGCCCAGGTAACTTAAGGGCCCCCCGAGGCCGTAGTTAAAAGCCTGCAAACACTATAATTAACCAGTTTCAATACTAATAAGTAAACGATCAGCCCATATAATTATATTGTCTATGTTAATACACGACTAATTGGTATACCATTTCTAACAAACTGCGGAGTCCACTAAACTAATAGATTATACATAGATTTTTATACATCTAAGATACATAAGCCAATAATAATTTATCGGAGTCTAAGAAAAATTTTTCTTTCCAACTCTGCGACGAAAGAATATGCTTAACCGATTGAAGAGAAAATTACTTCCTGAAAAAAAAATTAAACAAGATATTGAGCTTTCCTAAGGAGTAACTATTATTGCCACAAACACGACATTCAACACGAAAATGTATAAATATATATATCAAATCTAGTCACCGACTAAGTTTGTATGCTCAAACGCAGTCAGTCGGCACAATGGCATGTCCACCAGCAACTACACAAACAATATCACACTTCAAAAATAATCACATTACATGGAAATTGGTCTGTGGCGATCCCACCGAAAACCCCGCGATGAGCACGTCCTCCACAATGGCTCATCCTCTCATAACGTGGTGCACCAGGGAGCCGATCCCCCATCTGGCCGACCGGTTCTAAATCCTCAACTTTGACCAGCCTCTACATGTGTTTTTCATTCTTCTTTTCTTTTCCATACCAACAGGAGGCCAACCCCGGTCGTCTCCATCAAATCTAGATCATTCGTGGCGGCTCACAAGCAGGAGGCCACCCTGCGGGCCTGCGATCAAACCTAGATTATCAGGTGCGCCCAAATAAAGAAGCCCAACCTGTGGTTTTTTCCATATCATCCAATCACAACAATAGGTACACACGGGGGCGCCGATCTCCCATTTACCCGGCCGATCGGTCAACCGTCTCACAAACCCAGTGACCCACTTCATCCCAATCCACACAAACAAAGCACGCAATATCAACAACACAATAATCAAGTAATTGCAAATTAAATGCAAGCAATATTGATCGATTAAACATCGTACATCAATGCAGCAATTAGACATCCATAAATGAAATGCAAATAAATAAGTAAATAGTGTTAACATAAACCCAACAATAATAAATAAATAATATAAATAATAAACATAATAATAAAAAATAATTAAAGTAATTGAATAATTAAATAAATAATGATGATAGTCAAATAGAGCACTTTATTTACTATGTTATTAAGTTATGGAATTAAATCTAAAAAACTTATAAATTCCCTATGTTAATTTGAAAAAAAACAAGTCTAAGTTCCTATAGAAATTTTCGCAGCACCTCCCCTAAAAATTGACTATTTTCTACCTGCTCAAATATCAACAAATATTATAATATTTATCAATCAATGCACACAGCCCATCCGTCGGCGATCAACAGTTAAATTTCCCTTCCTTCCATCTAAATAATATTGTCAACATTCAACTATTAATTCACAACTTATATAATGCTTCAAAACATGTTCCAATATTATTATTACATTCTTTGCTTTACATAAATATATATCAGCTTCTTTAGCTAAATAAATGAAATCTTTTTTACATAATACATAAAAACAGAAGTTAATTAGCTTCTAACTATTATAAAACTCCTTATTAACACCTTTGTTTCATCAAATCCTTGCTTAAGGTAATAAAAACAACATATTTACAACCTTTATTAAATTTTAAAATTTAGACCACTAAGATCAAAT